TACATTTTTAAGTTTTTATATTTTTATAATATCATTTTTTAGTTCTATAATTTACACATGAAAAATAGTAGATAATATTGTTATTTTGTTAAAATATTAACAAGTAAGTTTATATTTTTAAATTGGTTATTAATTAAAAATATGTATTTTTTTTGTATCCAACTAACCATGGTTATGAAAATTACGTTTTATTTTAATTATTTTGATATTTTTAGTTTATTGTTTCCACTGTATTACTGTGTTTTCGTTTTATTGTGCTACCTATATATTTTTTAATAACATTTATATTATGCAGAATATTAGTTGTAAATTGTATTATTATTCATATATAATTGTATTATATATTTTTTGGTCATATATATTTTTTATAATTACTGTTTGTTTTAAATATAAATTATTTTTATTAAACGAGTATTAGAAGTTTATATTTTAAAATTTATTTTTAATTTTAAATATTTTTATCCGTCTAATCATATTTATGGAAACTGTTTTTTTATTTTTTAATTATTTTAATTTAATTTTTTCATCTGTATGATGCATTTATTACACGGTAAATTATAGGTGGGCTATTATATTATTTCTAGTATTTATTAAAATAAGTTTATAGTCTACTAAAATAACTGTTGATTTTTTTATTACATTTTTCTATTATCTATTAAAATTTGTTTACAAGATTTATGTTAACTCAATCTACCAGTCGTGTTTAAGTGAATTATTTTATAATTATTAAATACAATTTTTTTTTCTAAGTTTGTTGTTTTTCCCTTTGCAAAAATTTGTATTTTCGTTTCATTTTGCTACTTTTGTATTATAGTACAAAAATGTATTTAAGGAAGATGGTGTTTTTAATTTGTAGTGTACAAGATTTTATTAAATTGAAAATGAATGTCTAGTGAATAAATATGACACATTTTCAGATACTATTGTAAAAAGGTTACAGACCTTTGTTAAAAAACATTACATTACATTGAGCAATTTTACTATTAAAGCTAATACTACTAGTTGTAGTTCACATAAATTGTGTCTAACCAACAATATAAATTGTTTTATGTAGCATAATATATACGTTTTAGCAAGATGATAAATCGTTGTGAATATAGATTTTTCTATCATATATATTATAGTTAATTAAACGATATTAGTTAATTAAAGTACTATCAATAACTAGTTTACATACAAAATATTGTGTATATTTCTAATCCTCCCCTTACAAATTGTATTTTTTTGTAACCAATTTTAAAAAAGTATTTTAAATATAGATTTAGCGTTTCAATTTGTATATGAAAACATCGGTTCAGCAATTATGGAAATATCTTCAATACATTGTTTTTATTAGTTTTATTGGTTCGTTCTCAAGAACACACATCGTGTTTGAGAGTAGAAACATTAGTGGTCATAAGTTAAAATACACCTAACAACTATTAGTATTATGAATAATAAAAATTAATCATAAAGCGCAGTTACCGTATTTTTATCACAGGCTTCAACCAACAATTTTCGAAATCACCAAGCTATTTTATTTAGTTTAGGTCATTTAGTTTTTATAATATTTCAACGCAAAAACAGAAATAGATACCGTTGGTTTTAAATTGAGTATTACTTTGACAGGTTATTAAATTACTCTACCGGAAATAATCCGGTGTACACTTCTATAGTTGATGCTCGTTTTAGACAGTATACCTAATTATAATGATAATAATATTTCACTAAGGCTAATACAGTCTAATAGTTAAACACGTATAGAAATATAGTATAATTATTGTTTATTTTTTTTACTAACAAAATGATGTGCAATTTGGGGCAGAAGGGATGTTCAAAATTGTTCAAAACTATAATATAGTGCTACTATACTACTTACTATACATATTATGTACCTATAGTTAGGCCACAAAATAAAAATTAAAATACATGATTTGAGTACATTGATTGTAAACAAATTCCAGGTTGCTAGGTGTGAGTAAATTAACACAGATAATAAACATATTTTCATTATATTGTTAATTACGAGGTAATTATAGGTAGCCAAGGCATTTAACGTCCAAGTTAAAAAAAGATAAATATCAAATATACTTTTTAATTGAATTAATATTGTGCTGAAATATATTTTTTATAGTACATTTCTCTAGCTCACACACAAAACAAATGTATAAATTATAAAATCTATTCAGGCAATGTCTTGGCTAGAAACTCGTATACAAGTTAATTTTGAATTGATGGTTTTTTGTTAGTAGTTTAACTTGAGTTTTAAATTTATATTATATTTGAAACTGTATATAAATCAGCACAGCGTAATAGTCGGACTTTCTGTGTAAATGTTTAAATAACATTTTTTTTTAAATTATACTGATTGTTTTCTTTTCTTAGGTAAGGTTATTTAGCTAAAATTCAATTTTTTATTCACCTTTGTCGAATCATATTTTGTAATTCCGGTTAAGGTACTCGAAAACTAATTGTTCTCAAACATAAAAATATTAAATTACAGTTATAATAGTGAAGCTATAATAATTTAAGTTTTAACATAATAATGTATAATATACGAGTATTATGTAAGCTTATACTTCAAACTTGGTTTTGAATTTAAAATATTTATTCATTTTTATCCGACTAATCATTTTTATAGAAACTTTTTTTATATTTTAATTTTATTAATTTTATGTTTTCATCTGTATAAAATTTCTTTCTACATTTATATTTTAAAAAATTTGTTTGATGCATTATTTACACGTTGAAGAAAATATATGTTATTATACTGTTTCTATTATTTATTAAAATACTTAATAGTTAATTTTGGTTTCGCTTGATTTAAAACAATAAGGTATTTTCAGAGTTAATAACGTTATTTGTTTAGGTATAAGAAACGATGTCTCATCAACAGTTCATCGAAGGATTTAGTAATTATTACCAATTTGTTGCTAAAGTTCTTTTTGCAAAAAATATATAATAAATCGAAATTAGATATTTCTGTAGATTTTTTTAAGTAGGCACAACTAAGTAACAATATCAGATAGATAAATTGTTAATTAAACTTAAAAACTTTGGAAATCACCATTTTTTTGTGGTTTATAAATTAATGTTTTTGAATAACTTAAATCTATTAAAACTGAATCTTAAAAACGGGGTAACAATTTCAAATTTTTGGAAAAATTTCTGATAATTATTTATTTGAAATTTAAACGTTGTCACCGTGATAATTAACAGGAGCATAAAGCTATCATAATAAAGGTAATGTTTTTGTAAGTATGACGATTAACAAATGTAGTGTGAACATTTGTTACTCAGATTTTTCGTAATAAGTTTTTAGCCGTTGGTTTAACTTCAGATGAATTTGTTAAAAAGTAACTTTTTACTTGCTCCAGTTAATTTTTTTATAAGTTAAGAATGTAGCTAATACAACTTTAAGTAGTTAAAAACAAGCATCTTTGCCAACCAGGGCCTAGTAATAAACAGGCAAAAAGCAGGGAAAACAAGGTAAGAAATGTTTTTAATTAAATTTAAAAATTTTGATGTTTTGTCGGTTAAGTTAAAACCTTATTCCTTTTTAATATCTCACACTTTGTCGATACACCGCCATTTTTCTATTAAATTTAAATTAAGTTTTTATTTAGAAAAATGTATTATTAAATACCACTTGAGAAATAATTTAACTTCAAAAATAAGAACTGACAATTTAATTTTAACTATAATAATATGTTTTTAAAAGTTAAAACAAGAATGTATAAGAAATGGATAATGTATAGTATTAAATAGATACATTTAATAAGTACTTTCTTCGTGCTAAATATACCAATAGGTATGTCTCTTGTTTGACAAAAAATACAGTATTAAGAGTAAAATAATTAAACTTGCTTATTATGTAACGGAAAAGCCAGGTTATTAATTGATTTTAAATATTAGTTAAGCTTATATACATTGCACATAATATCTGATTGGTCTATGGCATTTTGAAGTGGAGAAATATGAGTTAAATTAACAGCTCTGGAAAAAATAAATGAAATTCATTAGTTAATAATGTATCAATTTAATTCAAGCGAAATAACTTTAAATACCTTAACTGTCCATATTAAATATTACATAAGATATTAGATTCAACATTGATAGACTTCTGTGTTCAACAAAGATCATACGTGATAGCTTAAGTAAAAAAAAAACGCACATATATAATATTTTAGAACTATGGCTTAATTAATAATTAGTGTAAGTAGATACATAAACACAATTTTATAGTAGACTGGCTGTTTGTAAAAACTCCTCACTATATTATTTACCAAATTATATAATACACACATTTTAGTTCTTTTAGATTTGTACCACGGTTTTCAACTAAGCTACCAGTTGATCGATATACTGAGTTTTTATTTGCATATTTTATAATAAAACACAAAAGAATATTTAAATTATACTATTAAAAAAAAATATATATATATATTCAAAATGTTAATAAAAGTGTATTGTTTTTTTTCTTTAGTACGAAGAAAAACTACCTATTCACATATAGGTATTTTAAAGGGAAAATAAGTGTCAGCTTTAATTTTTTTATAGTTTTTCAATGTTTACTATCGTTTAATTGATCATTACTTTGACGTTTTCTATTTGACTTATAATTCTGTTCACAGACTATATACATTTTTAAGTTTTTATATTTTTATAATATCATTTTTTAGTTCTATAATTTACACATGAAAAATAGTTGATAATATTGTTATTTTGTTAAAATATTAACAAGTAAGTTTATATTTTTAAATTGGTTATTAATTAAAAATATGTATTTTTTTTATAACCAACTAACCATGGTTATGAAAATTACGTTTTATTTTAATTATTTTGATATTTTTAGTTTATTGTTTCCACTGTATTACTGTGTTTTCGATTTATTGTGCTACCTATATATTTTTGAATAACTTTTATATTATGCAGAATATTAGTTGTAAATTGTATTATTATTCATATATAATTGTATTATATATTTTTTGGTCATAATATTGAACACTAATTTTACAAGTCAGCGAAGGGGTTTCCATAACGAATAAAAACTTAGGTAAACGCATTAATACATTTTATAGGATTTCGATGAAGGTAAATTTACAACAAGCTTTGAAACCGGAGTTGGGAAATTGATTTGTATGCCTTATAAAACCCCAGTTTACCTCCATGCTGCGGTGTACCTCCACCTGTGACAATCACTCGTTATCATACAAACACACACTATCACAAATCTGTCTAGAAAATGTTTGCATTGTCATTTGTCCTGCAGTTCGCGTTAATAAACCTACATTAAATACAAATTTTGTTTTTGTTAGTGTCCGAGATTTTTATTTTGCAATCGCTCCTTTCTGTGAATTATAACTAGTTCAATTAGATTTATCGCCATAGAAACAATTGGTTTTCATTATTGTTGCTACGGGTCCGATTCGTGAGAATTTCTAAATATTAATCATAATAACTTATTTTTTGATAAATACAACCGTATTGCGTTGTGTTTTGTTAATAAGTTACAATTGTGTTTTGTCTTGCCTGTTAATAATTTATTATAAGTTTTAAGTAGCAGCCGTGAACAGCGGTTTACGGTTCTATGTTATGTGAGTACCTACCGTTTTGTATACATTATTGTCGTGTTTTCCGTATTCCATTGACTTAGAATGCTGCTTGTTAATAAATAGAATCATAATCCATATGTGTTTGTTTATTACTTATTAATTGCTCAGAGTTTGGTTGAATGACACAGAATGTCACTTTAATTTAACGTAGTCGACAAAATGGGCTATCGTCTAGTTTTAATCTTTATCGTGTTAGATTCTTACCAACAAGTCGTACTTGTAGTTTTGTGTTATTCATGTAATTTTAGTAAATTATTATTTAGTTTTAAATATTAAAAAAAAAACAAAATATACCACTCAAAACTTTGTTGGTTTTTTATTTTTCAAATCATGTTAACTAAATTATTCTTTGTTATATCATTGTTATTACTAAATTTAATACTTAATAAAATAGTAAAGTTTTGTAATTAATTTGTCCTATAAATGTCAATTATAGAGTTTGGAAGCGGTATAAAATGTTGAAAATTAAACTTGAAAATGATGAAACAGAACAACACTCCTTTGAAGTCATTGCACCCAAACCGTTAAATGTGCAGTTCAAAAACAATGAAATTTCTACAAAAGTAGAGTGTATAGTAAAGAATGAAGTCAACAATACTTATGAGTAAGTCAATTTTAATACCATTTTTTACTAGATAAAACAATTAAGCTTTTGTAACTATGACTTCCTCCGTAATTTAAAAAAAAATTTAATTGATGATGTTATAATTCATTTTCAAAATAGTTTTAATAATATTGTTTAAACAATTATTTTTGACGTTATAAAAAGTAAAGAGAAACATCAACTTTTCATGAGTAACTTAATTCACTTTAAGCTATTATAAATCATAAGGGTTTAAATTATATTAAACATATGAGTTTATTTAAAAACTTGTTATCGATCAGTTAAATTTTCAGTAAAATGTATACTCTTTTAAAATAATTGTTTAGTAAATACTATTTTAAAAGTTTTATATATAATACATAAGTAATTTCTATTTTTACCTCTATAATAATAAAAATGTTAATGGTCTGATAGTGAATTATAAATAAATCCATATTTTAAGTATATATAAAAAATGTATATATATTTTTTTTTACTCTCCTTTTAGGTAATAGACCTTCTATGCTTACACAAAAGCCAAATTTATTGAACTATTTATAGATAAAAGTCTGAATATACAGTAAAATAATAATTTAGTCTTTGTTAATTACTTAGTTGATGAGCATTATGATGTATCCAACAATAAACACGAAACTGACGAATTAGTGAATGAAACGCAGTTTAAAACCAAAATATATTTAATTCAGTTGTTGGAAACTGATCATGTGCATCTAAGTAACTTTTTCACACCAAAAAGAAGCCAATCACATATTTAGTTATTAAAGTATAAAATCCCATGTATCCTAAAAGATAGGTGCTTCGTACACCGGAGTCGTGTTGTGTCTAGTAATACGGGATCAACGCCACATTAAATTAACCTAGTCGGCAAAATGGTCTATCGTTTAGCTTAAATCTTTATCGCCTTGACTTCTTACCTGAAAGTCAACCTGATAGTCATACTTGTAGTTTTGTGTTATTCATCTAACTTAAGTGAATTAAAATTTAGTTTTAAATATTTAAAAAAAACAAAATATACCACTGAAAATTTGGACGGTTTTTATTTTTCAAACAATGTAAACTAAATTATTCTTTATTTTACACAGGTTTTAAGTATTTTACCCTTGTAATATGTTTCTAGTCTCTGTGTCACGGTAAATTTTAACATACACGCAAGTTCTTTATTCTTTTTTTTTTGTAACTATTATGTATATATTTTTTTTAATTTTAATACAAAATATAAATTATGTCAATTTTGTTTGTTGTAAATTTAGCTGCAATAACGACGATTTGAATGTCAAATTTGAAAAAGAATGCTTCAATGACTGTGTGTTCGAATCAGATATTGAAATCGTAAGGCATGAACTGTTTGATGCTGAAAACGAGCTAACACCGACGTTTGACTGCAATTACTGCCAAAAATCGTTTAAGACAAAACGACGAATTAAAAACCATATTTTAAGGTAACCACGGACATAACAAAGAAAAATAGAATTTAAGCATAAATTACCGTTTTAAGTAAACGTTGATTGACGGTTTAGTGATGAGGTCGTTTACTTTAATTATTAAAAGAATCCTGCATGTCACGAATAACAGTTATAAGTGAGGTTTGATTACTAACAGTAAGCATAAGTTACTTTCAAGTCCTCCTTTGGGGATATTATGGTGTCTAAACCGACCTACTAATCCATGATTACTAAATAGCAGTTACTTGTGAACATAAAAATAACACTATCGCCTTTCTAGAAGCTCCTTAGGGCTGCCACTAAAACTTTCAAATTTTCCTGTTTCTCTGGCCCACTTTTTATATATATATATATATATATAAATAATTTGATTATATTTAATGAAAATATAGTGTAGGTACTGAAAATAACTGTCGATAGGAGACCCAATCTATGTCTATGGCCACTCAATTTATATTAAAAGTTAATAATTACTGTTGCTTTATAAATAATACTGTAATATGTATTAGTTGAATAAAAAATTACCATGCAAAATAATTTTACCTTTAAGGGGGCTCCATATAGACCATTTTTTCAGTCAAAATACATAATTTTCATTCCATCGCACAGGCCTAGCCAGTGATCCGATAGGCAATCTAAAAACGGATCTGAATTTGTCATGAAGTTTACTTAGGATCGGTCGAAGGACTTTTTACAATTTTTAATTTTAACCCTTTCTAAATTTTATTTTAAAATGTTGAAATTGTATAAAATGTTCAAACGTGTTTTATACATAGTAGGAATAAGAAATCAAAAAAGTATGTCGACCGATCTCAAGTAAATTTCATGACAAATTCAAATCTGTTTTCATATTACTTATCGGATCACTGGTTGAGCCTGTGCGATGGAACAAAAAATGTATGTTGTATTAACTCAAATGGCTTTTACTCATAGACAAAATGATTTAAATTAAAAATATTTTCAAACGGGTAAATTTCAACACTATTATGTGTCGTGTGCGAAATCCTTGAAATTATTTCTTAAAAATTATGCTTGATTGATGCATTAACACATATAATAATAGTAATATTAATATTTGCTATAAAATATTGATCTTAAATTAATTTATTTTGTTTCATGCGTGTTGCAGTATTCATTATCCATGTAACGAGATCGACACTTCAAATTGTACAAACTCTAATGATAACTATACTCGAAACAAAGATGTCCTATTTATTTGTGGTATTTGTTTAAAAAGTTTCTCATCAAAATCAAACCTGAAAAGACATTGGCGGATTCATACGGACGAAAAGGCTTTTAAATGCAATGTGTGTGAAAAAACATTTGGACGAAAAGAACACCTCAAAACTCATAAAATGACACATACTGGAGAAAAACCTTTTAATTGTAATTTCTGTGAAAAATGTTTTAATAAACAATCTTACCTCAAAACTCATAAAAGGACACATACTGGCGAGAAACCTTTTAGATGCAATGTGTGTGAAAGAACATTCAGCCAACAGTCTTCTCTCAAGACTCATGAGAGAACACATACCGGAGAAACACTTTTTAGATGCAATGTCTGTGAAAAAAAATTCAGTCAAAAATCTAATCTCAAAAAACATGAAAGGATACATACCGGTGAGAAACCATTTAGATGCGATTTCTGTGCAAAGACATTCTGTCAACAATGTGATCTCAAGAAACATAAAAGGACACATACCGGCGAGAAACCCTTTAGATGTAATGTCTGTGAAAAATGTTTTAATACACAATCTTCCCTCAAAACTCATGAACGCATACATATTGGTGGGGTATGTTATGAATGCTCCGTCTGTAAAAAATCGTATGGTCACCAAAATACTCTAAAAAAACATCAAGCAAAAGCACACGACTAAAACCTCATATACCTTTCGTGACTATTTGACAGTTTTAAAATAGTTTTGGTAACAATTTTTCATTATTTTGCTCTTTATTTAACCTACAATTTAATATGAATTAATGATATACGAGTATATTTACCAATTTTTTTTATAGTTTTTTAATGTTTACTATCGTTTAACTGATCATTACTTTGACGTTTTCTATTTGACTTATAATTCTTTTCACAGACTATATACATTTTTAGTGTTAACATTTTGATAATATAATTCCTTAGTTCCATAATTTACACATGAGAAATAGTAGATAATATTATTACTATTGTTATTTTGTTAAAATATTATCAAGTAAGATTATATTTTTAAATTAGCTTTTAATTAAAAATACGTATTTTTTTATATGCAACTAACCATAGTTATGAAAATTACGTTGTATTTACTGTGTTTTTGATTTATTGTGCTACCTATATGTTTTTTTTAATAACTTACATATTATACAAAATATTAGTTATAAATTTTATTATTTATTTGTATATTATTATGTTGATATATTTTTTATAATTACTGTTTGTTTTAAATATAAATGATTTATAATATACGAGTATTATGTAAATTTATATTTTAAAATTTATTTTTAATTAAAAATATTAATTTATTTTTATCCGTCTAATTATGTTTTATAGAAACTGTATTTTATCTTTTAATTAAATTTTTTTATCTGTATGATGCATTAATTACACGTTAAATATTAGGTGGGTTATTATATTATTTGTATTATTTATTAAAAGATGTTTATAGTCTACTGTACTAACTGTTGATTTTTTTATTACATTTTTTCTTTTTTCTACTAAAATTTGTTTACAATATTTATGTTAACTTAATCGACCAGTCGTGTTTATGTGAGTTATTTTATAATTATTATATACAATCTTTTTTTCTAAGTTTGTTGTTTTTCCCTTGGTAAAAATGTGTGTTTTCGATTCATTTTGCTACTTTTGTATTATAGTACAACATGTATTTTAGGCAGATGGTGTTTTTAATTTGTATTGTGCAAGACGTCATTAAATTAAAAAAGGAATGTTGAGTGAATAAATATAACACATTTTCAGATACTATTGTAAAAAGGTTACGGATTTTTGTTTAAAAATCATTACATTACATTAAGCAATTTTATATTAAAGCTAATCGTACACTGTTTTAGTTGTAGTACACATATTTTGTCTCTAATCAACAAATTAAATTGTTTTATGTAGCATATATGCGTTTTAGCAAGATGATAAATCGTTGTGAACAAACATTTTTCTATCACATACATAATAGTTATTTAAACGATATTAGTTAATTAAAGTACTATCAATAACTAATTTACTTACAAAATATTGTTAATATTTCTAATACTCCTCTTATAAATTGTATTCTTTTCTAACCAAGCCAGCATCGGCCAAGCGAAATTCTTAGTAAACTAAAAACTAATAATTTTAAAAAAAGTCATTAAAATATAGTTTTATCATTTGAATATGAAAATATCGGTTCAGCAATTATGGAAATATCTTCAATACTTTTTTTTAAATTAATTTTTATGGTTCGTTCTAAACACACACCGTGTTTTAGAGTAGGAACATTAGTGATCATAAGTTGAAATACACCTAACAACTAATAGTAATATGAATAATATTAGTTAATCATAAAGCGCAGTTACCGTATTTTTATCACAGGCTTCAACCAACAACTTTGGAATTCACCCAGCTTTTTTATATAGTTTAGGGCATTTAGTTTTTATAATATTTCAACGCAAAAACAGAAATAGATACCGTGTGTTTTAAATTGAGTATTACTTTGTCAGGTTATTAAATTACTCTACCAGAAATAATCCTGTGCACACTTTTATAGTTGATGTTCGATTTAGACAGTATACTTAGGTATAATGATAATAATATTATCATTATTCACTAAGACTAATACAGTCTAATAGTTAAACACGTATAGAAATACAGTATAATTATTGTTTATTTTTTTACTGATAGAATGATGTGCAGTTTGGGGCAGAAGGGATGTTCAAAATTGTACAAAACTGTAAGTATAGTAAGGCCGCAAAATAAAAATATTAATACATGATTCGAGTACTTTTATTGTAGACGAATTCCAGGTTGCTATGTGTGAGTAAATTAATAGTTGCTAAATGATTTACCCAGTAGTTAAAATAATAACTATAAAAAGGGCAAATTGGCCACTACTAATTATTTTCCATTTCAATTTAAGTTATTATAAGTAAGCCGTAAGGTTAGGGTTGTGGGGGAAATTGACACCGGAGGACAGCCGCCAGTCGCTTTCCAAACGTTCTCTATAATTTCGAGTAAGATTTTTGTCGTTTTTCATTTATACGGTTTTAGATAGGTTTGTTTTAGATGTAATTAATAATTTAAGGTTATACTTAAATGTACTACACTGTGTAACAACCCTGTAGCACTGTACGTATGTGTTGCAGGCGGTTCGCCCGCCCATGACATCCGCTTATGTCAACGGTGGAGGAAGGGTAGTATCATGTTGTTAAATTATATGGATTACCATGTCAACAAAGCCTGAACTTAATATCAAATACGTTTGAAAAACAAATATAAATTTCGACAAAAACACAAATAATAACAATGTTTTTTATAAGTCATTTCATCGGATATTTGCTATAACTTGTTTACATTATAATGCTAATAAATAATGCTAAATAATACAATTGTTGGATATATAATGTAAGAAAATGCACCCACTGGCCTAGTATAGTATTCAACTTTCTCGTTGTTTAACATAAAAATTTGAATTGGTGTTTTCATTTGAAAGAAAAATATATATAAGATTCACTCATTATGAATTGTAAAAGCTTTTTATACTTAACAGCAACATTTTTCATCATGCTGTCGGCAACTACAGGTACATAAAAAAATCGAGTATATAAAACAATATCAATAAAGCTATAATATAATAAATTAAATAATAATAAAGAATTTTTAGAGAAAAACAAGTATAAAAATAGTTTAATGTTTATTTTAATTTTATATTATACATATTTATTATTTATGTTTCAGGGTCTCGTGAAGGTACCTATTCAAACGATTTAAATATAATGAAAATATAAATACTTTAGCAGTATTAACATATTTCTTTTACTTGTTTCATATTTAAGAAGACCAGTGTTAACTTAAATTAACTAGGTACTGCTAATAAATGTGAAATTGTGTATACATTTTTATTTTTTAGGTAAGTTGGATGATAATATCAGTTTTTGTGCTTGACAAAGATAAGTATAGTAGCAGTCTTACAATTATTTACAACTGAAGACAAGAATATAATTAAATTAACCATAAATATGTATATACAATAGCCTTCTGAAATTATTGGATGTGTTAGTTACCTATAAAATAATGGGGAACATTTTATATTTTAGTAATGCTAAAAATATTATAAATGCTTTACGTTAGTACAATAAGAATACTTCTGCCATGTTCATTAGCATATTTTATAATCTTGTATGTCTATTTGTAAAATTATTTAAAAATTGAATTTCGTAGGCGTAAGCAAAGTTATAGCTATAGGTTAAAGTAATATAGGTATGCATAACTTTTAAAAATAAAAATTAAACAAGTATTTGACTTATTTTGTTCGATGTTTCAGATTTAAGAGTACCCACACTCCCAACCCCAGATAGACCACCACCCATAACTGGTAATGTTATGATAATATCTAAAATTTATTGTTGTAAAATTAATTAAAAATGTATAATTATTAATTCGCGAGTATTAGCAAAGTTAAACACTTAACTGAATTAACAGCAAAAAATTGTTAGACAGAGGTACTTGGAATATTATAATTAAAAAAAAGCCAGTACAGCGGGGACGGGGAGGTTACAGGCTTACAGGAATTTTTACAACTTAAAGTAATAAAATCGCTTTCAAATAAACGCTTCGGTGCGAATCAGTAGTTAGTATTTTCAAGCCAGTACAGTCCAAACCAAGTACAGTATAGTCCCCACTATGCCCCGTCCCCATTATACTGGCTTTTTTTTTTTTAATGTTTAAAAAATTGTACAAATAAAAGCACAAAAAAAAAAATAACTTCGCAGAAACCTGATAAACAAATTAAGAAGTTTATAACACTTTTAAATGTTTTAATAAAATTCCATAAATTTTACTTCTTATTATCTAAAGTCATTCTCTATAATAATAACGATAAAAAATGTACTTTAATTTAAGTCATAAATATTCAAAATAGGTGCATTAAATATTTCTTATAAATTTTAACTCGATTTGACCCTTTTTATCGAAATTATAGCCAGTTAAAGTTGAAACTTTTAAACTAATATTTTTTTCCAAATTTTAACTGTGAAGAAGTGAACTTTTTTAACTGTTACCACCCCAAAAGTACCAACTAGATCAAATTTATGATTTGTAGAGTTGCTACTCGAAGGAGTTGGTCCAGTATTAAAAAAGTTGCAGTGTTGTATACAGACACAAAAAAAGCTAAAATATAAAAAACAATTATTTGGAGATATTTTGTTCGATGTTTCAGATGCGCGAGTTCCCTTAAGACCACGACACTCAAATGGTAAGTTGGACGATAATATCTAAAATTGATTGTTGTAAAAATAATTAAAAGTATAATTATTAATTCGTGATTATAAACAAAGTTATAGTTATAGTTAAAGTAATATAGGTATAAACTATAAAAAATAATATACGTATAGGCTGTAAAAATAAAACAGAATAAACAAGTATTTGACTTATTTTGTTCGATGTGTCAGTTAGAGAAGTATACGGACCATTACCATCTATCCCAACACCAACACCAGCACAACCACACCACAACGACCACCATCACCACCCAACGATGGTAAGCTGGATGATAATATCCATCTAAAATATATTGTTGTAAAATTAATTAAAAATCTATAATTAATAACTCGTGAACATTAGCAAAGTTACATACTTTGGATCAACAATTAAAAATTATTATACCAAAAGAGGTATTTGAAAAATAAAAAAAACAAAATAGGAAAAGACAACTATTTGAGTTAGTTTTTTTTGATGTTTCAGTTCAAGAAGTACCCGTAGTACATCCACCATTCAGCAGTTGAGAAATAACTAAAGGTTAGATAAAAGTATATATCATGCAATTATATTGTATGGCGCACGAGGTTAATGCATGCGAATAAATTTAATGTAAACCACTTGAGACTTTCGTTCTCTAATAGAGGTATAAAGGAACGAGTGGGATATTTAGCTAAGTTCATGAATAAACTATAAA